AAAATGGGTGCATACACAGATCTTGTTTTTATGTCATCTAAAAACTCAAAAACCTTTACTTATATCAAAGAATGACCAAAAATAAAAATAAAAAAGGACAGTTTGTCAGAGCCAAAATACATATTATACAAGCTTTTACCAACAGCTGTTTAGGCTTGCCAAGTAACACTATTTAGGCACAAGCTTTTGCTAAAGCAATAAAACCTTTAATGTGAACACCTTTTAAGAATCCTGAGCAAAGTACGAAAGCATTTGAGATCACAATGCCAACAAATTATCCTATTTTTCTAATTCTTTTTAAGCGATTCCGTTTTTGGCAGAGAGTTAAAAACAGTTTGCATCTGTCCCACTTCTATGAAATAAAGACTGTAAAGAGAGAGAAAGCAGAGGAGAGGGGTGTAGAGAGAGAAAGAGTGAGAGAGAATGAGTGCTAATGAAAAGTCTTTATTTTGGCTCTTCTGCCAATGTTGCTTAGTATTCCAGTTCAACAAAGATAAATAGAGGCCATCTCTATGTTTCTTGATGCCTCTCCAGGAAGCAGGGCACGATTATGTAAATAGCATCGGCTCCCTTTACTCCTGCCAGCTTGCTTATCTCCAAAGCCTTCTGCCTGCTGCTACTGGCGACCAATACAAGTGTATGCACACAGCTCTTATCTCTGAACAAAGCTCGAGAAAGGCACAAGGATAGAGGCCAGCAGTGTTGGACAGTGACGCATGACTGATTTTCTGTGCGATTTATTTAACCAAATTTAATTTCTTTTCTTCACTAGTGCAGTTTTCATCAGATATATTTATGAACTGTGCCAAATAGGAGATTAGAAAAGAAGGATGTCTAGAAGTGCGGTTATTAATTATACTGGAGGAGAAATAGATGTTTTTCTACTACTAATGACAAATATGTATCTGTGCTGATGAATTTAATTTAAAATAAACAGACGGTTCCCTGTCCATCTGTGGAACTATGGCAAGCATTCCATCAACGTGTTATAGACAGAAAGAAGCAGCACATGATTATGCTGTATAAATGACAAGGATGAATGCCATTCAACAAACAATGCTCTTCTCTTGCCCTTATATGACCTGGGCACAGAAGCCACTTACAATTAAAGAATATCCCTTTTAGCTGCAGATATATCATGCTTATAGGAAATACAATGAATTCAGTACTGTTATGTACAAGTCAAACTGCTCACAAAAATAAAAATAACGATTACAAAAAGATGCAGAAATCTTAGTCGCAGTCTAAACTAGAAATCCATTATTGTACAGTCTTGGTCTCATCGATGAAGCTAATGTACAAAGTTAATAAAATGCTATTGAGAGGCCATGACGACTCTTGGATCTCATATCAACAGTGTAAGGCAACTCATTTGTGGCCAGCATGGTCTAAGAAGCCTATAAATCTATACAAGTCTAAAATGGGAGATATGATGCTTACTGTAGCTCCACACACTCCTGACCAATGGGTGTTGAAAAGTTTACATGTTGGAAAGGACTTTTCCAGCTAAAAGCATGTCCTGCTGTCAAGTGAAAAGTAAAAGTGTGAGTATCTGCTATGGGGGGGAAAAAAAAAAAAAAAAAAAAACAACAACTTTGTTTTGGTGCGCATTTTTCAATCAGATACTTCTTGGCAATGCATTTTCAATGCTGCAGGAAAAGTTGTGTCTCACAGCTATGAGTGAGAGAGAGAAAGCCAGACAGATAATTAATTGACCTTGATAGGTTTGTAGGTTAACAGTATTTTATGACACATAAATAACACTAATTTTATGATTCCCTTTTGATATTCATTAGTTGCTTCAGCAGGACAAATGTGTCCATAAATTTTCAGGCACTTATCTTGGAAAAACAGGTGTACATATAATCCCCAAAGGGCATTTTTTTGGTATATGAATTAAACAGATGAGATCTGGTTTTGGATCAAATAAAGTTTATGCATAACATCGTTTTTATTTTCTTTTGCATTAGGAAAGAAAACCTAGGAATATGTGTTTATGGCTGGTCTATACTCAGCTGCCACAATTTTATTCCTCACTATACAAAACTCTTCCTAATACAGGGTTAGAATGGACATTAGGCAAAACTTTATCACTGAAATATACTGGACGGGCATGAATTTGCTGTCCAGCTGGCTTCAGGTTGTTCTAGACCAGTCCACATCTCTGTAGAAATGGCAAGAGACATCAAACTTGTCATACATACAAAGTTCAGGTGGCTAGAGTGTAAACAGATTTGGACATACTGACATATAGCATTTATTACATGCATGGGTAACTTAAAGGAGAATTATGAGGCGAGTGCTTTTCACTCAGCCTCATAATCTGAGCTGACCTGTGACAATGAGACTGTCACAGGTCGGCTCAGTAGATCGGGAAGAGAGCGAACACATACCGGCGCTCGCTCACTTCTCGATCCTTTCCCTGCAGAGATCCGTGACAGGGCAGTGACTGGATTCTCCCCTCCCCGATCCTCCAGCACTGACTGGCGGAACGGACGGGGAGGGGGTGGGTACAGCTGGCTCTGCCTCTAGATAGGCAGAGCCAGTTGCCACTCATGCAGCTGGGCAGATCCAGACATAATTGTCGGGATCCGTTTCAGCTGCGGCATCTCAGTATAGCGCGAGCTGCAGCTCGCGGTATACTGAGCTTTGGGTGACCCGAGAGCAAAACAAACGACAAACGCACTCAACAATTTGTCACCAGTTATACAGTAAGGTGCACACGAAATGGGCTTTGAACAGTAAAACAGTAGAAAGGCATCATGGCACACTCACAAACCAGCATGTCTCACCACTAAGGATAATAACAGAGGTTTGGATACACGTCTTCTGCAGAAAATGTGAGAGGTGCCTTGGCGCGGCAGTGCGGCTTTCACATTTTCTGCAGAAGACGTGTATCCAAACCTCTGTTATTAACCTCAGTGGTGAGACAAGTTGTTTTACATGCTCGTTTGTGAGTGTGCCATGATGCCTTTCTACTGTTTTGGGTGACGGGAGGACGCTAGTTTGTGTCCTCCCGTTACCCCTCCTTTAAAGGATAGCTGCACCATTTTATTACAAATCGTCCATCTGTCCCCTGACCCACTCCCCTTTCATAGTATATAAACGATCACTAGGTGTGTCAATTATCACTAAAAAATTGTGTGTTATATGTAGAGGGCCGCTGCAACGTATATAAAAAAAAAACGAAACTTACCTTGCAGCATGCTGTCTCCTGCACATAATGCCCAGCTTCCAGGCACTGAGGGAAGTGAGAGATGCGATTGAGCAGTGAAGTACTCCAGTTGCATCACCCACCTCTCCTTACTACTTGCCCATCTACAAAATGCCTCATGTTTTTCAAAGAATACAATGCATTCTGTGATTGGTGGAGAAGAGATGATGATACATTTCCACCCCCTCCTCTCTTCATCCAATCACACAATGCCTTGTACTTTTAAAAAAGAATATAAGGAGGTGGATTTGTCAAAACTGGAACAGACCGAATCTGGGGCAGTTGCCCATGGCCACCATTCAGCCTCTCACTTCAGTATGCTCAGTTAAGCTTTGAAAATGAAAGATAGAAGCTGATTGGTTGCCATGGACAACTGCTTCAGTTATGATAAATTCCCCCTCACTGTATTTTGTGAATGGGCAAGTAGTGAGGAGTGATGGGTGTTGTGCCCGGATCAATTCACTGCTCGAGTGGGTTTCCCGAAGTGCCTGGAAGCAGAGTATTATGTGCAGGAGACGACATGCTTCAAGGTAAGATTTTTAAACTTTGCAGTGCCGCGCCCCCCCCCC